GAGGCGTCACCTGGGTCGGTACTGGGAGGACCGACCTCCCCGTCAAAGTAGCACTCCCAAGCTGCAAAGGTCCAATGGGTGCCATCCGAGCGACACAAGAGGGTGCTTTCTGAGGAGGGAGCCTGTCCCGGAAATGCACCAGCCCTACTGTAGGCGCTCAGGACGGCTGGGTGAGAACAGGGTTCTCAAAAGGGTAACACCTGGGAACTTGTTCAAACTGCAGACCCCGGGGCCCCTCCCCCCAGACCTGCCGGAATCGGAGCCTGGGGATGGATTTTGCTGTGTCTATTGAGAAATTCACACCTGGAAGTGCAGGATTCAGTCGGTGTTGGTACAGGCGCAGAGACGTGCAACAGTCACCACTCGTTCTGGAACGTTTCATCGCTAACCATCTGGGTTTCCTCCGGTGGATAGGCTCAAGCGTGAGAACTCCTGGGCTGTCTCCCTCGTGCTCCCTTAGGACTTTGGTTTAAAGATAACCTAGGAGATGCCCTTGGGGCACGTTTCAGCAGGGGGACGGCCGGGACTCTGTCGACAGGAACTCTGGCAGCCTCTTCACACGCGTGTCCCCACCCTCTGTGCACCCAGGGCGGGAGGTGGTGAGCCCACTTTGTGGCCGAGAAAACCCAGCCCCCGCTGCCACGCGCCTGGGGAGACCCAGAGCCACGCAGGCTCTGCCCAGTGTGCCGCTCGAAGGCGTGTGTGCGCCTGTCCAAGGATTCCACTCACTGGCTTCTGGAATGGACGAAAGCCTTCTGAAACAAAGTTGTTTATTCAAAACAACGATAAAGTTCACTAAAAACCATGGTTGTTTCCAACTGAGCAATCCAGTTGTTCTATTAAAGTCTGGTTCCAAGATGAACGACCTTAATCCACACACAGGAAAGAAATCCCTTGTCACACCCATCGGCTTTTGTAGAGGCCAGGGCAAGAGGGAATCAACGAATCTGTGAGCAAAAGGACGCCTTTTGGTTTCTCGTCCCCCCCAAAGCCAACACTTGCCCTTCTTTAATTTTCTCAGCTGTTCTGTCATTTTAACAGCCCAGCACGAAGTCCACCATGTCCCCCGTTCACCATGTGTATATACAATGGACTATGTTCTTGT